GCACAGAAACAGTACTATATAACATTTTAGACACATTCTAGACAGTTTATCAGCTAAAAAAAGTTAATTTTGGGGTAAGTTACTCTTTAACTTCCAATTAATATGCCTAAAACAAGAATAGAAGTCCATGAACAACAGAGTTGCTGTAAACAAACCTCTTTAAAGGCATCCAAGAGGTCTCCCACAGCCTCCTTTTTGTTCAGATCCTTCATCTTCCTTTTCTTCTTTGGCACAGAAACAGCAGCTACAGAAAAGATGACAATCAGCCTGGGATCACTGCACTCACAGCTAACAAGAATCATTCTGTTGAGAAAGATCCTAAATAACAAGAACTTGTCCAAATAACAGAAATTGGGCTAACAAACATCAGACTGACGCTGACCTTGCATAATAGTCTCTACAAGTGTAGGGGTGATGGTTTGGGTAGATGGGGTGTCCACTTTCTCCTCTGCAGCAGGAGGGGGAGAGGCAGGCGTGGTTTCTGGCACCTTATCAGATGTGGAAACAGGTTCTGCAGGAGATGATGTCTCTTCCCTGGTGTTAGACTGGGGCTCAGGAGCGTTTTCCTGATCATCCAGGACAGCCTTGTGAACTGTATCTTGTGCCTCGGGCTGGGCTTCCGCCTGGACAGCCTCTTCGACATGAACTTCCTCAACAGCGTGTGCAGGCGCTGACTGGTCAGTCGGTACAGTTGAAGCTGCTTCAGTAACAGAGGTCAGCGTGTCAGGCTGCGTACTGACATCCGGCTCAGCTATGGGGCTGTCGTCATGCTCTGATGTGTTGACAGCAGGAGCCTCGGGGTCCCCAGGAGCTGGGAGTGGGAGGCCGTTGGGCAGACGTAGCTCCTCCGGCTGAGCAATGGGAGACTCTAGTGGGTCCTCCAAGTGACAGGGTGGTAACGTGACCGACGGCCCCACTAGCTCCACCTCAGCCACACCATTAGTGCCCGAGGGCTGAACACTGGATGTGTCTAAAGAAGCATCGGCCTCTTCCACTGTGGTTTCTTCTTCTGTCAACTCTTCCTCATTCGCCTCTTGGACCATCATGTCCACGATGTTCTGTGCAGAGCAAGTAGTAACCGAGTCAGGAAGGGGTGCAGGGTACGCAGGTACCTCAGGTCCTGATTGAGGGATTGGTGCAGATTCCCTTGGAGCCAAGGGAGCATCCATCACATCTGCAACAGGAGCGCTGTGTTCCAGCGTGGAAACAGAGTTGAGAGGGTTGTTTCTTGATTCTGACATAAGAGGAAGGGCAGGTCTCTTGGTGTTTGTGTTGCTGGAGGTGGTCTCTGGGGGAAAGGGGTCAGTCTTAGCAGGTTCAGGTGTCTGTGACAGAGGAGGAGGTGTAGGTTTTGCTCCGTCATCTGGAGTCAAAAGTTAGAAAAACATGTAAGTAAAACTGCCAGCAAAGTTCTGATTGCCAGCTGTTCTTTATAGTTACACCCATCCACCAACCTTTATTCTACTATTTGTTATACATGTTACAAAAAAACTATTACTCTTTTATGTTTGTCACTTTAAATATTCTCACATTTTTGTTTGTTTTAAAGGAGACTTAATAAGGGGGTCCTAGAACAAGTTAGGATCCATCTGTGGGCTAAACAAAACATGTTCGTCGGCTGCGGACATGAGCGCCTGCTGTGAAGCAGGAGGAAAGGAGAGCGGAAAAAGTTCCAAACTTATTTCTAGCGGCAGAAGAGTTTGGAAGATGGCTGTTTAATGTATGCCTTAATATTGCTAGAACATTACCATCAAAAATAAAAACAAAATTAAATAAAAATAAAATTAATCCACACATCTCTGTCCTCCATGACTGTGAAGCAGCAGAACCGTCCTGTGAAGAAGTGGGCGGAGTCTCTGCTTGGGTTACGAGGAAACAAATTTGGCTCAGGTTGGGGTGGGCTGAGTCCGGCCTGTGACATCACAGCCCGGGGGATTTGAAAACTTGACATTAATTTACATGAAAAATACATTTACATTAAAAATCAAAAATACATTTACAATAAATATACCCCTGGGTACATTTTTTTGGTCCTAAAACTGTTTTTTTTATGAAGTACATACCCAAAGCTGAGTAAAAAAAACCTTTAAAAAGTGAATTTTGCATATTATGTCTCCTTTAAGGTCTTACTTGAACTTTTGGATGATTGGACCCAGCAAGATTTCAAACAGGATGGATTATTATTTTTTACTTTAGAAGGGATCCCTGATTAATTGTAACATCAGATTTTATTTGATTAACATACTGTACATTATAACAGTAAAATAAAGACTGTAAAAATACTGTAGGCTGTTTAGTTTTGTAAATTTAAAAAAATATATTTTAACATGGACAGAGCCATTTTATTTACACGCAAAGCATTCTGTGTAAACGATGGCGTGGATAGGTCCTCAATGTGAGGATGCTAGTGAGCTACATTCACCCTGAAGGTTAATCTCGGACAATATCTGATTGACTCTTTTAAAATAAACCAGAAAGCGTTGACAGACAGAAGGTCTGTCACTGAAAATATGGATGGAGGACCTCAAGTTTAGCTTGTTAGCTTTGTCCGCTGGACAACCTGAAAAATATCCTTATGTCTACCCCTGCAATTGATCACAATATTTTATTACGTAGACTTGAACTTGATATTGGGATTACAGGAACAGCTCTAAAATAGTTTGAGTCTTATTTAACTGATAGATTTCAGTTTGTTAATGTTAATAATGAATCTTCTTCTTATACCAGAGTTAATCATGGAGTTCCTCAGGGTTCAGTGCTTGGACCAATCCTCTTTACTTTATATATGCTTCCATTAGGTAAAGTTATTAAACAGCATGGGATAAATTTCCATTGTTATGCTGACGATACTCAGTTATATTTATCTGTCAAACCTGATGAATTTAATCAGTTACTTAAACTACAAACATGTCTTACAGACATAAAAACATGGATGACTCTTAACTTTCTACTTCTAAACAGATAAGACAGAGGTTATAGTTTTTGGACCTGAATATCTTAGGGATCAACTTTGTAGCCTTTCACCTCCTCTGGATGCATTAATCTGGCCTCCAGCTCTAATGTAAAGAACCTTGGTGTTATTTTTGATCAGGATATGTCTTTCAACCCCCACATTAAAAATGTTACTAGGACCGCCTTCTTCCACCTGTGTAATATCACTAAAATTAGAAACATTTTGCCCAAAAATGATGCAGAAAAATTGATTCATGCATTTGTCACGTCTAGACTGGATTAATATAATTCTTTATTATCTGGGCGTCTGAGTTTTATATCATGTTATAATGTTATACTTTGATAATAAAAAAAAAACATGCCCAAAGCCTTGCTTTGACTCATTCATGCATGTTTGAGAAATCCTGCAGCATTTTTAGGCAGCCATGAGGCCATGAGGAGCAAAATGACAGGTGGGGACCAGAAACGCTTTTTGGTACCAGGAACGCCCCGGGACGTGTCTTTAAGTCAAACTTCCTCACCACGGGGCACACCTCCCCACCCCACACACCCCGCCCATGACTCCTGCAGGCTCTCGGCAGTAACAAAGCAAACGAGTGAAAGTGAAACTTAACTGTCTGCTGCTCTTAACACTACTTCTCACTCAGTGAAGCTCTTTTCAGACTCAAAATACCTTTGAGGAAATGTATTTTCAGATGCCAAGTAAACTGCATCATAGTGCATGTGCGACCCCCCCACTGCCGAAACTTATGGGACGGAAGCAAAAGGTGGTTCTTAAAGAGACAGAGGCCAATTTCAAGGCGTTTAGACGAGGAAGTGATGAGAAGATATATTTATTTTCTATTTAAACATAAAAACAGCATTTTAATAACAAGGTGACATAGATACTTTACTATGGTATAGTATTTAAATATATGCCTGAGAAACACATAACATTGGCCCTTTAACATACAAAGCTCTTAACAACCAAGCTCCATCATATATTAAACGTCTTATTGTTCCATACTTTCCTAACAGAGCACTTCGCGCTCAGACTGCTGGTTTACTTGTCAGTGGCGCCTGCAGAAATTTTTTTCAAGGGGGGCCACTGAAAAACCAGGGGTGGCACACCAAAACTAATATCTATAATAGAAATTTTATAATGTGGTTGTAAAAATGACAATTTGAAAACTATGGCAAAATAAAAGCTATGGATTTGCCAACAGATGTTCAATTATAATATTACTGATTTTGTTATGTTCAGAGACAAATAAATAAATAAATAAATAAAAAAACAAGACCCCGAACTATCTGCACTTCCACAGCAGTCCATTTCTACCTTGTTCTGTATCTTTACACATGGAGAATCGTAAGGTATCCTTACTTTATTACATATTTCAGTGGCATCAGAAATATTTGTAATGTTGGGGGAACCCATTGGCGGGGGTTCTGGGGTTCCTCCCTCAGAAAAATTTTGAAAGAAGTAAATGCCATTTCCTGCATTCTGGTGCATTTTAACAGGTTGTTAAACAGACTTTTACCTACATAAGAAAACACTTGGTGTGAGTATTCTATAAGTCA